ACAGAGTGAGACTCCAACTCAAAAAAAAAAAAGTAAAGTGCATGAAATGGGGATACATGCATCGGAGAAAAATAAAGCAAGGAAGGGAGGAAGTGTGGAAGGGACAGGCTGGGGGAGAGGGCTATAATTTTAAGCAGGAAATGGGGAGGAGGCCTCCATGAGAAGGTCATATTTGAGCCATGTCAGTATCTGGCGGAATAGTATTCCTGGCAGATGAAACAGTAAGTGCAAAAGCCCTGATGCAGGAGTGGGTCTGGAGTGTTTGAGGAACAATGAGGCCCCTGTGGCTGAAACCCAGTGAAGGCAGGGAAGGGAGAGAGTGGGAGGCGAGGGCAGAGACGAACTCAAGGGGTCAGATCATGCAGGGTCTTTTGGGCCACAGCGAAGATTTCAGCTTTTCTCGCCATGGGAGGATGCCAGCTGACTTGGGTTCTAACAGATTCCCTCTGGCTGTGGGGTGGGGAGCAGACTGCAAGGAGCTAGAAGGAAGGAGCCTAGTGAGAAAGCTGCTGTAGTCCAGGAGACAAGGAAAGATGGTGGCTGGATCAGGGCAGAGACGGTGGCAGTGGTGGCCCGGTCTGCTGGCTGGAAGACTGTGTGGATGGGGTGGGTGAAGGAGGGATGGGGAGGAAAGGCAGTGGGGGCGAACACCGTTAGCATAGCGTCACTAGGATGTCAGGCACTCTCCTCAGTGCGTTCCATGGCTTAACTATTTAATCCCCACAATCACCCTTTCCGGGTAGGTACTGTTATTTATCTCCATTTTAGAGGGGTAACTGAGGCACACAGAGGTTAAGTCACTTGCTCACAGTCACACAGCCAGCAGGATTTGGACTTAGCATGTCCGGCTGTGGAGCCAAGCTCTTAACCACAGCTGGAACCTCAGGGTAGGGTGTGGGTCCCAGGGACAGAGCCAGCCCGACAGACCCTGGCAGATTCAGCCAGGCCCGGGAAGAGGATGAGGACCCAGGCAGGGCTGCAGAGGGCTCAGCGGCCTTGGATTCGCCTTGCAGACTGGGCCGCGGGGGTTGGGGGACGGTGACCGGGAAGGGCCCCATGTGGTCCCTGTTAGCGTTGGGCGAGGACCAGGACCCGTGGCAGGGCGTCACCAGGGGAGAGGAGAGGGGCCTGGGAGCTGACGGGTGCGGCCCGAGGGAAGGGCCGTGAGATGGGACCTAAAGCGGCTTGATATGTGCAGGAGCCCCGCGGAGCACGCAGAGGGGAAGAGGAAGGCCGAGCCCGCGGCCGTGCGCGGGGCGGGGTCCTCGCGCCGCGGTCGATT